AAGGAAATAAACGAAAAAGTGGAAGCTGCAAGTGGAGAAATGAAGAAGGAAATCGGGGAAGTTAAGAAAGAAGTCAAAGATATGAAGAACAATTTTTCAAAAGTGAACAAAGACGTGGACGAAGTCAAAGTCATGATGATTCAAATGCTTGAACTGCTGAACAAACTGCCATCTGCGACTGAGGGAATGTTGAACACACCAAGAGAGGATATTTTGATTGCAGGCGGATATGGAGGACCTTGGAGTGAACCTGGCGCAAGTACGGAAGTCTATTCGTGGGAGAAAAATGGTTGGTTTGAGGTGTCGCCAATGAATGACGACCATGAAGGAGCTTCATCATTTATCTATAAAGATCAGTTCTTTGTTGTCGGGGGAGCAGATAGTAAGGCAATAGAGACCCTGAATCTCGATGAATTACCTTTGAAATGGACAAAATTTCTTGGGGAACTGCCTTATCCGTGTGATGATCAACAAATTGTTGTTTACCAGCACAGTGTCATTCACATTGGTGGATTTCAATATGGCAAACGATGGTCTAACGTCATTAGTGAATTGCAACTTACATTGCCTTGCAGTATGAAAGTGTTGTGTCAAATGCCTCAACCGCGAGGACATCATTGCGCTGAGGTATTTGAAGATAAAGTGCTGATTTTAGGAGGATTTAATTCTGTTATGATTACAAACAGTGTATTGGAGTTTGATCCAAGAAGGAATGAATGTAAAGAGATGCCAAAATTACCGTTTGCCTTGAGGAGAATGGCGACAGTTCGCTGGAGGGATGAAGTAGTCTTGCTTGGAGGTCGTGATAAGGATGACAAAGTTCTGAATGATGTTTTCATGTACAACTCCAAGACAGGCAAGACCACAGCCTTACCATCCATGTTGGAGAAGAGAGATGGATGTTGCGCAGTTATTACTGGAAATACTATTGTAGTGATGGGAGGTAGGAATGAGAAACGTCAATATCTCGGTTCAGTGGAGTGTTTTACAATGGGAGGTTCTACATGGGAGTATCTTCCTGCCATGAATAATGCCAGGTCCCGAGCAGTTGCTGATGTTTTACCTTCCACACGAAAATATGTGTAAATTGGACATTGAGACATGGTTCAACGTTGTTAGGTTGAGTATAAGTTGTGTTTTTGTTTGCAAATTGTCAGAATTGACCACATGTGTACAATGAGCATTCCCCGACACTTCGTGAACCAAAACACAATTGGTTAGATTCATCATTGCCATTGGTTGAAACCAAGATTTTGAGATAAACCAACCTGTATTAAATACAGTTCATAGTGATCACACATGCACAGAAAAAGTTTTTTCAAGTTGTTGTAGTTTTGCTTTGCACAGTTTCATAGGCGTTGTTATTATATATCCATACAGGGTGTCGCAAAAAAATACCCCACTATGTTTTGTGGTATTGCAACGATAGCTTTGTTAGAAGTTTCAGATTTTTTTATTAGATGAAATAATTATCCTGTCATTTTTGATCCATTGATATTTGAATGATCAAAATAACCAACTATTTGCCTTCTAGGTTAGGCTTGGACGGTTAACTGGTTTTTTGGTTTTGGTTCGGTAACCGGTTTTCATTTCGAATAACAAAAAAATCGGTTTTTGATATCTTTTCTTTTTCATGAAAAGGGCAAATACTAATTTTTGCAAGAAATGCTGTATTATTAGAATCCACACCCATGAGGACAAAGTATTATCTTCTCAAATTACGCAAATCAGCTGGTCACCTACAGTAATACGTATCACGTAATGGTTCACATGTTTGAGCATTATCGTGCATTTCCTCCGAATTAATTTGAGAGTGAGTTAGGTCTTATGACATCATACCAAGACCATGGTTAAGTTAACATTTCAAAAAATCCTATATTCAGGTTTTGAGTCGGATGGTTTAGCGGTTTTTATTTTAATCAAAACCGTCCAAGCTTATTCTAGATTCACTTAAGGTGGTGACACCAATATTTGAACTTTGTCTGAATTATAGAAAATAGGTCAAAATATTTCAGGCTTTTAAAAGGGGATGTTTTAAGAGGTTTCCCAGATGTCTATCTTAAAGACAGGTTTTGTGTTCCCAAACATTAAATATTTCGTTTGATATAAATAATTATTTAACCCATTTAGTGCCAGCGCTCTCGAATACTAGACGAGTAAAATCGTCTGGCGTTAGACAGAGTAAAATAATAAAGTAGGGCGCTATGCAACTTAATGATAGCCTCCAGGCCTCGAAATAAGTGCCGGTCATCGGCGATTTTCCGGCAAATTTTTCATTTTGACCGGCAAATACTGTCTCTTACCGACACGCATGACCGGCAAGTTTTTCTCCCTAATGTAAAAAATGCGTTCTCGAGCAAAACTTTTGTTTCGCACAATTTCGTGTTTACTGAGAAAAGTGGAAGTCTGTAATCGTACCTGCACAAGTTCACTTAAAATAGGTGCAAATAAGAAAATCAAAACATGACCGGCCATCTTGACCGGCAAATTTAATAATGCACTGGTCATGATGACCGTTGTACGTTCCAGATTTATTTCGAGCCCTGGAGCTATCATATGGCTATCTTATCATTCATAAGTTTCTCTTTGTTAGTGTGGATTATCTTATATAACACCTATATTATAATATCTTAAGTGCTATTTAAAACACGCCTAGGAGTGTTTCAGTCAGAGACGTAGCCAGCGGGGGAGTCGTGGGAGCCGCGGCTCCCCCCCCCCCCTTTGGAAATATTTATTGCTAAATATATATACTTACTTCAAAATTAATTAAAGTAAAATTGATTCTCGACACAGTAACATACCTCAAAATCAAAGTAGAGTGTCCAAGAGTTTGTCAAATATCAGTGTATCGAGATAACCAAGATGTTTCAGATGTTGACGATACGGACTAGATTTTTTTTCCGCGTAGCAGTGTATATCCCATTTTTGGATACAATTCTTGAGTAATTGCGATTTCGATTTAATGAGAAAACGACGTTTGCTGGGTTGTTTGATACGCTGCTTCCAGCCGTAACCGTGCAAAGAATGGTACAGTGGAAGAAGAGATCATGCAGCTTTTTGGAAACCACAGTATTCTCAATTTCTTCATGCTAACAATGTAAGTTATGCCTCATGATACTAGTGGCATGAATGCCTTAGCGCAGTATCGATTGTGGGTTGCTAAATGGAAGAGAGAATTTTCCAGTTCAACTGATTCATCAACT